TGTCGAGGTAGGCAACAATGAGTTGGAGCAATTCGCTGGGTAGAGACTGTAGCTTTAAAACGAATCAGCTCATCTTCGCAGATGTAGATAAGGGTAGAAGACGCGCCGAATAGGCGCGCACTGTGGAGATAGCACGTGTAGAGCGGATCAGGCCTGCCCACGGGTCTCATTGTACGTACAGAAAGTGGGCGTTCCTCGGCCCTGACGCCGGTTGGAGAAGGGAACATCATCTGGTCTGGAGAAGTACACATAGGCATCACAAGTGCTTATAGACGCGCATCGCGCGTGAATGCTGTAGTATTCAACTGCGCATGTGGGAGTGTTGTGAGTTGGGTGCGTGAATTCGTCAAGTCTGGGCGGTGATGCGCAGCGACGCCATCGGTGGGGTGCCACCCCCACAAACCAAACCCCTGCCCAGCGGCCTAGCCATATGAAAGCCTCGCACTTTACCGGCGCGACGTCCCCATCTTCGGACTGCATCTTGATTGTGACGGCTTGCATACCGAAACTGATGGATAGGACTCAAAGAGGTGGCAGGTCCTGTGAACTCAAGCCTCCTTTTCTGTATTCTCTATCATGGCTTGTGGAATTTTCCGTTCCCGAATCATCCTGTACATGCCAATACTCGGTGCCACATCTTTGAAGCCATACATTGGGTAGAGTTTCTGTGCCATCTCTTCAGCTACAAGGCTCACATATGCCGACGGTGCATGCTCATCCACGTAGTCCACAAGCTTCTGCATGATGCGCTTTCCCAGTCCTTTGCGCTGGTGATCTGGGTGCACCGCCACGTCCACCAAGATGAGAAACAGCGACCCGTCGCCGACCAAACGACCCATTGCGATGGCTTCCTGCTCTAGCCCCGGAGTCTTGTCGTCAAGCATGTGTTTGCGCTCATAAGCGACAATGCAGCAGAAGGAGTTGGCGAGTGACTTTGGTACGGCTTCCATTGGTGGGGGTGTCATGCCAGCGAGCTTTCGGAGATCGTGGTATGTCTGCGGTGTCGGCAGACCTTCGAGGAGGACATAATGTGATTCGGCCATTGTATGAAAGGATGGGTGAGAGTAACAAGCTTCTCTTTCTGTAGGTGTGAGTGTTTAGTATGCAAAGTTTCGGAGTGAAGATTTCGGAATGAAGTGCGGAGTAATATGTGCTGGCAGGCCTGACGCTCTTTGAAAGCGTCACTCATCGTTCGTTGCTCAAATCAACTCCAGAAGAAGCTGTTAATATTTCTGAATACTTTTAGGTGCGATACTCTCACCATCAGGCGACAATACAGATTCGCACATGACCGCTCCCACTTTACGTGCGGTGGACAGGCAAGATGAACTGATGTCTCTTGTAAGGACTTTTGTGAAGGATAAGCTTCGGACCGCGCAGGTTGCAGCAAGTGCATCTCTTATTGCGAAACATGCCTAGGGAACATCTAAATACTGCGGTCTCTTTGCCATTTTCAAAAGTGCTGAGACGAAGAGTATCCTTGATGACCTTCTAGACATGGAATTGATGACAGACCACTTGTTGTACGGACACGTCCGAGCATCTCGGACGCACAATCATGCAGTGCAAAGGAACACCAGGCTGTAATCATTGATTCATGGTATTTATCCGGCAATTTACCACCGTGATGATGATAGCCCTTGCTTGGGTTTTGTGTCTAGGTGGGCTCACAGTCTACGTCTGTACGCCTTGCATTCGCCACGAGAATTATGGTCACAAGCATGGCGTGAGAAGACTCCGGCTGTGTCCTTAGGTCGTCAGCAATCGATGAGGCGGCCATCGCTACAGAGAGCAAATTACTACGCTCATTCACTACCTCGCTTATCACTTCTGTGGAGGGAGTGACTCAGAGCTCTACGGTCAGTATCAGCGATCTCGAGACGACATAAACGGAGTCAGTGGCCAGCAGACATTGCCGCAAAGAAGAGAAGAGGCAGCCTATGTACCAGCAACACCACGGGCATGGTGATAGAGTTGTGATAAAGAGCATGATGCCTCACTTCCTAATGTGATAGAGATTCATGCTGATAGCGGATGGCAGCTGTCATTGATCGGGTGCCGCGTGTTTTTGCCGGAGGCTGTGTTGATGATGCTCCTCAACCACCCTAGAATCCGAGCTTGCGTATCGCGGTATGTCGTTGGAAGGTGACATTGTCATGGGCCACGGAAAACCCGGGCCGCGCGTTCCACGGCTCCGTGTCGAATGCTATCCCAACGTGGTGTCTAAGGCAGTGCGACACCAAAGCAAAGCAAAAGTTGGCCGAGATGTGTTGTACTGCAGATGTAAAGATTACCCTGCATAGACACGAACGTGAGATGAAGCCTAAGCATTCTCGAAGCTGCAAGATTATGCAACGGCGAGATATTGTAATGCCTGTGGTCGTGCAAATTGTGATAAGCTCAGTGCACATGACGTGGTGTTTCGTTCCAAACCTAGCCTTGGAACTGATCGGAACCTGGTTGTTGGGTACATGACGCGCAGAAATGACTGTAAGCTCGAAGATGCTGAGCAGCGGTTTTCTTCGAGTCAGCATCGTGTGACGGTATTCGTCACCTCTTCCGCCGCACTATTCAGTGAGTTGATAATCTTCTAGTGGGGTGTCTGGTATCTTTGCGTGGGTCCGTAGAGCCAAGCGACTCATGTGGCTGACTTCGACTTGGAGTCGATCACCTAGGCGCATCTTCATGCTACACTGAGAAGATGGCGATTCGATCGCGGGATTGATGCAGACGAAACATCTAGAGTTTGCGCGTCAAGTAAGAACCAGCGGATCCAGATGTGGTGTGTTCTGCGAGGCCGTTGTGCGCCGCGAACTTGGCACAGAGCTCGAGCCGTGTATTCCGATGCAAGTGAGCATGTTGGGGTCGTCTTTGATGAGTAAATCGGCATGTTGGGTGACGACCATGTGATAGAACGATGTTCTCAGCGGCACCGGCGTAAAGAGTTACGGAGACAGCTGTAGTAGATCGGTACCTGGCTAGTCTGAGTAGAAACTAGCCGGGAACTGCTGGTAAAACAACGGGTGAGCTACTTGCGTGATCCCTAGTGGAAACACCATCATTACTACAAATAGTACACGGATCTATCGTTTCAAGGAGTGATGTCGCAAACATAATGACTTCATGCTTGTCCTGAGGAGCACGGAGCGGAAGCGATCTTACTTTACTTCGAGACGGGTGTTTCTGTCATACACGCCACCGCAAAGACATGCAGACTTCGGTGCGATGGAGGTTGCAGTCGCCGACGAAGGCTTTGCGCCCGAGAGTGGGTGAGACGAAAGGCTCAGGGTCCAATGCAGGGTGATATGACGTGACAGAGCAGGAGCGATGAGAAGCCTTCATGTGAAGTTCGAGGGAAGGCAGGAAATCTCAGGCGCGCCGGACTTGCAACGTCGGCTCTCCTCACTTAGATAACAGTCAGGGTTGACGCTTTTGGGAAGAGGACGCGAAGCGGGCAGGGGCTTTAGGCTGATGGTTGCAAATGGGGCGATCCGCACGACTGCCGGACGATCATTGGTTTTTTAGGCCTCTGAAAATAGATTAGCCCCATATGCAACAACACCATCAGCACCGATCATCCTCCTGACACACGACAGCCAACTGTCACAATACTCGTGTTTCCAAGACGGCCACGTCCTTCGGATGCATCGCCGAGCTCGTCAGTTCAGTTCACTCAGCCAGCGTCAGCTGTACCTCATGCCATTTCATGGCGATCTCCGGTGGCAATATTGCATGTGCAATTCTCGCAAAGTGTCACATATGCAATGCAATCCGTATCCGCTTACTGAGTTACGGCAAAACATCCATAGACCACCAGCTTCCTAGCCTTGACAAATTGTCTTCTTGCGACTATCTCCGGAACGTCTGACGAGTCAGTCTCCTACCGGTGACCAGGACAGCAAGTTGCCCAGAACGATGCGGAAAAGAACATCGTCGATGTATACCGTTCCAATACTGCAGCTTTCAGCGATCGCCCTGCAACTTTCCTCAGGTTGTCCCTTATCAGCTTGGTCCTAAGCAACCTAGACGAAAACGGTCGCGGAGGATTCACATACTATGCCTGCCTTGGCATTGATGCTGCATGCTCAGCGCAGCCAGAAAACTCATGGTCCTTGCAGACCAGTGAGCTCGTCAAACAAGCGAGGCTACTTTTTGTAATCCCAGGCGTCATGCTTGTTAGAGGACATGATCCACTCTCTCGGCTCTGACACGCAGCGTCCCGTAGCTGCGCACGGAATATCGGTACTCGAAACTATTCCCAGGAGTAGGCTTACATGCTCAGGCAGTGACCCTCCGTCTATGGAACTTACAGGTGCTATATGTAGTGCCTCATGCACTCGCATCTCTTCTTAAGGCTGCACATCTTTCGTAACCCAACTTCTTGGTCCTCGTCACGCTGGGTGTGATTTCTTTTCTTACGGACCGTTTGCCATTATGGGGCTTCCTTCAATATTATTAGCGGTAGCTGTTCTGGGTGCATATGCACTCTACAGGTACTGGGATTCATCTCGTCGTCATAGAATACCGACAGGCCTAAAGCCTCTACCAGGACCCAAAGGTATGGATCTTATTTCACCGTAACATCGCATAGGCGAAGGTCTACTGCTGGACCCTGACGATCATAGAAGTACCTCAACTAACCAGTGTATACCAGGCTACCCCATCCTCGGCTCAGTACCTGAGGTGCCTGAGAAGAACGGTTTCATCAAGTTCGCGGATTGGGGCAAGCAATATGGCCCCATCTATCAATGCGACTTGGCTGGTCACAACCATGTCTGGATATCCAGCGATCAGATTGCTAAAGACCTGCTTTCGAAAAAAGCAGCCATCTACTCCGATCGACCGCATATTCCTTCTTTGATCGACGACAACCGTTCAAGCGCGCAATATCTTCCGCTTCTTAGTCGAAATGGTAAGTCACATTCATGAACGCATAATACCACTGTGTCTAACGCTTTCCAGAGGGTCATACTCGTCAACGAAAGTTTGCGAACATCATCATGCGTGAATCAGAAAAGGCTGCGTTCCATCGATACCCTGAAATGGAATCAACACGCATGTTGACTGAGCTGCTGGACGCACCTGATCAATACAACAACATCCTTGAGTCGTTCATCTCTCGTGTCACCTGTCGACTGGCCTGGGGCCACAGCGAAGGTAGTGACGAGTTGAAGCAACGCGCACGCGAACTTCTCATTGGTGTCTCGCCCACAGGTTCCCTGAGCAACAAGCTTCCATTCCTCATGTCACTGCCGGACTGGCTCTCCCCACCCAAGGCTTGGGAGAGGCGACGCGCGACCACTGAGCGAACATGGTTCCAGACCATGCAAGAACAAGTCGTAAACGATGTGCAGTCTGGTCAAGCAGCCCCATCTTGGATGAAAACCTTCCTGGATGGTCGCAGCAAATGGGGGTTCAAATCTGATACCGAAGGCGCATATGCTGTTGGCATGCACGGTATCGCTGGAGCTCTTACTATCGCCGCTCCAATGCAGACATTCTGTCTGGCTATGACACACTATCCACAGTTCTTGCCGATGTTACACGAGGAACTCGATCGTGTCTGTGGAGACCGGATGCCACGTTCAGAAGATAGACCCAATCTTCCTTTCTTGCGAGCCATCATTCGCGAGTGCATTCGATGGCGCCCACCAGTCCCCACTGGTATTCCCCACTACCTGATTCAGGACGATGAGTACAACGGCTATCATATTCCCAAGGGTAGTACCATACATCCTTTGGAATGGTAAGTTCACCTGTATCTTGACTGGTGTACAATGTTCTGACATGCTTCCTTAGGGCCATCTCCCGCGACCCTGATCTATACCCGGATCCAGAAACCTTCAACCCTCTTCGATGGATCAAGCCAGAATACCCCACCTACCAGGAACCTCTTTCTCAGTTCCCAACTATAATCAACTCAACGCAGTTCGGGTACGGCAGGAGGACTTGCACAGGGCAAGCTGTGGCAGATGAAGATCTACTGATTGGCATCGGCGCTATCGCTTGGTTGTTCGACATTAAGAAGTCACCGAGCGATCCCATCATCATGCCGGCCATGAGCCCCATGAAGGCAGAACATACGATCGGCATGAATGAGAAGGCCAACATGTCAAACGAGGAGCTCAACGCAGGTCTTAACACAACTGAGCCAACCATGGCAGAAAAGATCCTTGCAAAGTTCACATACCCTGGATCTAAGCCAACGAACGACGCAACGCAGGAGAGATCAAAGCCCGCTGAGCTGACCAGTCAGCCTCTGGAATGGGGCGACATCACCAAGAAACCCGAAGACCCCACACTCGACTACTCCATCCTGCTCATCGCGAAGCCCATTCCCTTCAAATTTGATCTCAGGCCTCGCGACACGGTGCGAATAGACACGGTCCGCGACCTCTTCAGAGAAGGCGTTGCAAACGGTGACTATCCTGAAGCGAGGGCTTACTGGGGTGCAAACCAGGGACGTGATATGCCCTTGGGCTGGGCCAAAGTTTGAGACACGCTGTTGGTGATTTGCAAGCCCTGCAGATGCAGGCTTATATACCCTGGTGCGGGGACCCGGTGCTGACCCTGCAGCGCCGATCATGGGTATATAATGGCGACGATAATAATCAATTGGAGGGATTTTGACCTCCCGGATGCGGTTGAGCTATAGCTTGCTCCCGCGTGGCTGGGGGAAGGCGGTGCTATCGCTGTCGCTACGTTATTATGATTTAGACATCATTTACCAGCTTTCCTTAGTATATACCACAGGTCTTCTCTATTTAGAGCTTCAATACCCAATACGAAAAGTAATCGATAATGGCACGGCTTGCATGGAATGAGAAGACCCTCACCTGATAATTGACGCATGTTGGCATGTATCGGGCGAATGCGTAAAGCACGTTGCAGCTTACTCGAGACTTGGCTCTTTCTTTGCTGGCCATCACAGCCTGGACGACTTGGGCTGAGTGTGGACACATTCGGGGTGAGACGCTACACACGTGATGAGACCAGTCTGCCGCCACACCCACCAGCCACAGCTCTGACATCACGCATCTTCGGACCGAACGGCCGCAACGCGACATCGCCCTTCCACAAACACCACACGACATCTCAATGCGCCTACGATAGCCCTGCTCAGCTCACCGCGAGCACGAATCGCGCAATCATGTTCGGCCTCCAATTCACCGCCACGCGCACGCAGATCGCATCGTACCTCTTCGGCGTGGCGCTCTTCAGCATTAGCTTCCTCGTCTTCCTCAATAGCTCTATATCCTTTGTCATCACACAGCGCATCGGCCAGTCGCGCAATGTTGGTGATGCGGTCGGCACGCTGGGGTTTGTGGATGAGCTGGTAGCGCTTGTTGCGTGTCCAGCATGGGGATTGCTGAGCGACCGCGTGGGTGTGAGGAGTGTTGCGGTCATGGGATACAGCATTGTTGGCGTTGCGCTCTGGGTTCTTGTACAGGCACGGAACGTGTATCCTGAGCTGTTGCTTGCGAGAGTGCTGTTTAGTCTGGGAGGAAGCGCTACGTAAGTCCCGAGAAGTAGGGTTGTTTGCACAGGCTACTGAGGCTGATATTTGAACAGCGCGACTATGGTGACGGCGATTCTGCCCTCGATGACTCTCGTCAAGGATGTCAAACCCGACCCACGATCCCCAACGCGTAGCCGTGGCAGATCGCATGCGCCAGCTGCTTCGATATCGTCCGAACTCACGATTACGCCCGCGCGTTTCCGCTCCAACTCTCCGGAAGATCATACACAAGACACACCTGCGAAGAAGAGTTCGGGTGCATCTACGTCACAGCTTGCTGGATTGGTGGGCATGTTCACAGGCTGCGGCGCTCTCGTCGCACTGTTTGTCTTCCTACCTCTGCCGACACAGTTTCAAAATGCCGGCGAGCGTCCCGCAACAGCTGTAGCAGATGCCTTTTACGTTGTAGGGGCCATCGCTTTTCTCGTGGCGCTGGGCTGTTTCTTCGGCTTGCGCCAACTACCTGGCGAAGAAGCGAAAGGCTGGAAGCGCCTTACCAGCAGAGGCGACTACAAGGACGTAGACTCTCATCTGACGCGCGACGTCGTACTCTCATACCCTGGTCTCTTCCTGGAAAGTGTCCGTCTCGGCTTCACCTCCCCAAACATCGGACTCGGCTACGTCGGAGGATTCGTCGCGCGCGCATCCTCAGTCGCTATATCGCTCTTCATTCCTCTCTTCACAAACCACTACTTCTTACAGACTGGTCGCTGCAAGGTTGATTCAAACATTCCCTCAGACATCAAAGTCGCTTGTCCCGAAGCCTACAAACTTGCAGCGATGTTGACAGGCATCAGCCAGCTCATAGCCCTCATGTCTGCACCCCTCTTCGGCTACCTTTCCGGCCGATTCCCACGATACAACATCCCCTTGCTAGTAGCAGCTGTGTCTGGCATAGCAGGCTACTCAGCCTTCGGATCGCTTACGAGCCCAGACTACAAGAGCGAAGACGGCACAGGCGCGATCTTCTTCATCGTAGCGTTACTAGGCATCAGTCAGATCGGCGCCATCGTCTGCTCCCTCGCCCTCCTCGGCCGTGGCATCAACAACGACGAGCACAGCTCCGCGACAGATCTCCACAACTCGGCCTCCGCATCCATTGGAACAACGTCGCATCCATCCGCAGGCGCCACACCACCACACAGCGCGCCCATCACCCCTCTGGACGAAAATGCTCCTTTGCTTCCAGAACACATACAATCCTCCCGCTCGGCCTCCGCGTCAAGACGAACATCATCGCATAACCATATCAAAGGCTCGATAGCAGGCACGTACAGTCTGCTGGGTGGCTTTGGTATCTTGCTGCTAACCAAAGCGGGTGGTGCCCTATTCGATAGTACGGGACCTGGCGCGCCGTTTTATATGATGGCTGGGTTCAATGCGCTGCTTCTGGTGGTTACTGTGGGTGTCAGCGGATTGCAGAGTGTGAGGAGGTGGAGGGCGTCGGCGTCAGGAGCTTAGGGTTGGCGTGTGTGTTAGCATGTGTATGGTACGTGTATGATTGGGATGGTAACAAGGCGTTTACTGGGTTTTCACTGGCTGTTAGGTCAGATATGGACGAGGTGGGGAGTATATACCCTCTTGCAATGATATTGGTAATCGAACGATGACACGCATGGCTCCTGGTGATTAGATCATAAAGGAATGCTCCTTATGAACCTGCCAAATTGCTCGCGACTTGGTGGTCGCTAATCCATAATTCCTCGAATCGCTCTAGCAATGCCTCAACGTCCCATGGTACCGTATTCAAGCTCTCTCTGACAAAATAAGAAGCCTGGATAGCCAAACACACATATCATCCATCTATGCAAGCCATCCCGAACCATTTCCAATCCCCTCACTTCCCACCCCTCCACCCCATCTTCCCCAACACATCCCCCCAATCCAGCACATCAACCTTGCTCCTCGGCGCATCAGCCACACTCGGTCTACCAGCCAGACTCTGCGGCCACGGTTTCTTTGGATCGACCTAAAAGGAAACACACATACCTTAGCCCATTGTTCTCTTGCAAATGACTTGATACGGGGGGTTTTCTTTGTCACTTCTTGGGCTTGGGACTCACTTCAGTGCTGCCGGTCCATGAGGCGCTGCGTTGCATGGCGAAGACGAAGTCGCGGTATTTGTCGCCGGTGCTTGTGGTGGTGGGGGCTGGGGCGGTTGGGTCGGTGGTGTGGGAGGGGGAGTTGGTGGAAGGCTGGCGTGGAGGCCGAGTTGTAGAGGGTACGCGTTTTGTCGGATTTGATGGGCGTGGTTGGGGTCGGAGAGGGCTTTGGGCGTGAGGACGCGGGTTTGTGGGAAGGGATTGGCGTGGACGGGAATGGGCGTTGTTGATGCGGTCATGTGTGGGTGTCTTGGGCTGGTTGAAGGAACCTGGCAATGACTTCCTTACTGGTTTTGGCTTCGGGGCAGATTGGACTGCCGGTCTAGACTCGGCTGGTCTTGCAGGTGGTCCACCACTAAGCTCCTCCAGTGCCCTTTCAAGCGTCTTCGTGTTCTTGATAATGCCCTCTTTGTACAATGTATCGCGGATGTCGTTCTTGTAGAAGCGATGGTATGGCTCCGGATCTTCTCCTTGACCAATACAGTCCATGGCATACTGCCTGTAGTCTGTCCTGTTGCGTATGACAAAGTCGTCCCATTGCCATTTCGGTACCATCTTGTCTTCCTGTTCCAGTTGATACATCTGCGTGCATTGGTTTCGAAAGTGCTTCTCGTCACCATCGTATTGTGGATACGTGGCTTTGAAGGACTGAAAGACGGTTTGGGCACCATTTTGGTCTGCTTGATTCGAAGATACTGGTGGAGGCTGCATAGTTATCGGAACGGGACCACGAGGTCGAGGATCACGCGAGCGGTCTTGTAACTGAGGATGTGCTGTGGGCGGCTGAGGTACTGGGTTTGCAACGGGCTTTGCTTGTCTGGGACTCGGCTCGTCATATAGATCCTGATGCCGAGGGGACATGCTGGGCGATGGCTCCTTTTTCTCCACTTTGACAGCACCGTCAATTTCCATTGCGTCTGGATCTTCCGTGGTGAACCTGCTCGTAGTCTCGGGTCTACTGTCGAAGCTTGTGCTAGAGTTACGTTGCTCCCGCCATCTGCGTAGAGACTCGTCTCGTTCTTTGCGTAATGCAGTCACTGGGTCGATTGCAGACGGAGCCTCGTCTCCAAACCCGACAATCTTGATTTCGCGTCTCTTAGATTGTCGACGTTTGCTCTTTGTCGGCGAACTAATGAGCTTGCGCTTGGTGGATTGTGAAGCGAGATGGGGTACTGCCGGTGATGATTGTACGCCACGGTTTTCCGGTGATAAATGCGTGGATTTGGTTGTTGCATGGGAGAAAGATGTGGACTTCGACCCTTGATCTAGCCTGTGTTGTGATCGTTGTGCAGCAGCCGTCCCGCCATTAAGGTCTTGTGCGTCTGGGATATTGTCTATCATCTCTATGTCTCCAGTATTGTCGCCGTTAGGGCCTTGGGGTACACTGCTAGGCACTTCAACTCCCTTGTGCTTGTCGCCTGAGCTTTGCATGACCCCAAGCTCTGCAAGATCAGAGAGACTAGGCGTATCGTATGTACTATGAACTATCGATGTAGATGATTGTTGTTTGGGCTCGCCGCTTGAGCTTTGGGCGCCTGGGGCATTCTTGCCTTTTCCATCTGGAGTTTCTTTGACCTGAACAACTACAGGCGATCGCAGAGGATCAGACTTCGGAAGTTTGCTGTTTGCTGATGTCTCTTCCCTGTGCCGTGTAAGATCTTCGCCCAAGGCTTGCGGAACGGATTCTTCCATGTTCATTTCATCGTCAGAGTCTGCGGGTGCAGCTAGAACGGGTGGCGAAGATGGTGGACGAGTTGGCTCATCGCCATCTGAAATTTCAACGACAGAACAATTTTGTGACTGCTTGCTCGCGGGGATCCGCTGTGACGCAGAATCGTGTTTGGACTGAGATGCAGGCTTCTCAATACTTGAGTCCGGAGGAAGTTCCTGGTGGGCTCTTGCTGGACGTGATGGAGGCTCTGGGGATGTGTCCCAGGATATCTCGCTACCAATATCACTGTCGTCTTGAGTAGTCTCGGGCTCATCATCTTTCGTACTCGCAGATCTATCATTCTTGGTAATGGCAGGTTCATCATCTTGCGTCTTTTGTTGCAGAGACTTGGGCGATGGATCGACAGTCTCTGCCGACGGATCTGGGTCCGATTCATCGTCAGTTTCAGCGCCAGCTCTTTCGTCAGCCATCCGATGACAAGCCATGAGTATTGATTGGGGCATGTTTCCAGCCTGGAAAGGCTGAACCCCGGGTTGAGGTTTTAGCCAACTAGTCTCCCTGTCCAGACAGTGCCGCTGGATTTTCGGTACCTTTAGCGTCTCGCTATTGAAGATCAAGTCTGCCATCCAAGAGCACGGAGGCACTGTCTCACTGTCATCCTCGATCAGGCTTTGTTCAATGGTTTGCTCCTCATTCCGAACATTTTCAGTAGCTTTTGCAGATTCGGGCGATAACTCGCGGACCCTCTTGACCCTCTTTCTCTCATGATTGGACACAGATGGTGAGGGTTCTTCGTTCCCGGCTTCTGGTTCGGAGTTTTTCGAATGTTGCTGCGATGCATCTGACGGTACTTCTAGAGATTCATCTACAGCTGGCGTAGCGTCACTTTGCTGCTTACCGAAAGCCGACTGCACGAAACCGTTCGCAGAGGTCGCTCCAGGTTTGCGAGCGTTTGGATTGGGAAGTCTGCCGAGAAGACCTAGCAGTTGCATTTCTTGACGTTTCTCGTAGTCTGTGTTAGCAGCACCTGGCCGTATCTCTTTTCGTTGGGTGTTACCGCCTAGGACTGGCTCCAGCCGGTTCACTCCTATGACCTGTAGCTCCTCGTTGCCTGCATGAGGACGGGATGGGAGAGGCAGTTGTGTTCCAAATGGCAGTTGTGTGCCCATCATCTGTGATTGGAGCTCGTTGCCATGCGGCATGTTTCCATCTGAACCCATGTTATCCGCCATAGCGTCGTCGACTGCTTCTAGGTCCGTTTCCTCAGCACCAGACGCCAAGCATCGGCGGTCCTCTCGCTCGCGGATCTGGCGCAGCTACTCTAGCAAGACACCGATCTGCTCGCAAGCATGCAGTGGCCTCAGACTCTCACGCCTCAGATTCTGTACCCGTTCGCGATTATCGCCCAGCCAATCGATCCGATCTAGTATCAAGCGCAGTCTTTCGCGCGACGGGCCGTACGAGGTGAGGCGGATAGTGAAGGTGCGGACGGCTACTGTGGTGCCGATGGACAGGTGCGATAGCGCGGGGATTTCTTGGTGGAAGTTCCGAGCGCAGTTGGGCGTGAATTGGGAGAGGATCTGAACTTGGCCGTCGGTGAGTGTAAGAGGCGCGACCTGGTACAACTGACGTTAGATATGGCAGCAGCGATGGCGCAGTATCACCTGCCTTGAGAACCAACAGTGCGCTGTTGCGGTCCGAGTGAACGTAGTTGATGATATCCAGGGACGAGCCGTTATCGTGGTACACGTCCCACTGCCTGTGCAATTGGGCTTTAACGCCAGACCGCTTCCTCTCAAATGTGTCCTGGAGCCACTGGTTGCCTAGCAGCAGCTGGGACTCGAACGTTTCTTCAAGCCAGGCGCTGAGGCGAAGGGCCATGCAATGGGATGTCGCGGCGCCAGTGGGAGACGCGACGCGTTCTGGTCCCGGCGAGATGTGCGGGGAGGAGGAACAACAAGCCGTGTGGGGACTCGTGGAGAGAACATAATAGAGTTCTATCTAATGGAGAATAGCGGCTGATACTTCACTCGTCCAGCCAGCACTTGATACGCGTTTACTCTTGGGCCGCCATTCACGGTGGCTGCATCTCGTGGCTGGAGGGCATGAATTCATGCCGAGGGACATCGTGGGGGCGGAGCAGCGAGCGGAATTCCTTGGCGGTTGCGCGTCATGGCCCGCCGCGTTTCCTGCATGCCTAGCTAGCTGTATGCACCTCGTGATGCTCCAGCTGCCAGTGCCGTCGTAGCTGACTACTGTCGAGGCCTGGATTATTCTGCCTCATTCTCATGAAGCCCAAGCAACACACGTGTAACGAATGATCCGCCGTCCTCGACTCCACCTCGCTGTCCGCCGGACTACCCAGGCATGATCCCACCTGAAGCCTGATGCTGTTCTTCATAGACGACTGTCGGACGCCGATCCGTCTGGACACACTCGATACTTCCTACTGCACCCGCAGACTGCAATCCCTCTGACGGTAGTCATGTCCAGAGACTCGCGGCGGGGCTCGCTGCAGCCGCCCTCGCTCTACCAAATGCATGCCCAGGCATCACGCTCCGACACGCTCACCACCTTCGACGACTTCACCGTCCCACCCGCACCGAGCTCAGTTGGTGAGCCCAAAGGCATAGACTTGGTACAGGGTGGCTTCAGTGGACTGTACAGTCGCCTGAGAGCTTCTGTAGGAGGCGCCAGAGAACAATCACAAGATGGCAGGAGCGGGACTTCGCCGGCCTCCAAGTCAGCGGCTGTCACTCGAAGCCCAGGGGGGACTTCCGTGTCCTCACCCGTTGTCACCTCTAGGCCGTCGTCGCGAATGCAATCTCCAGCAACAGCCAACTTCCCCGACGCCCTGCCTCCATCCCGCGACTCCAACATATCTAGTACCACACTCTCCAGTAAGACGTCCATGAATGCGTCCAAGGCTTCCCTCGGTACTGCACGGTCCCGGAACTCAATGACCCCGAGCGTCGACACAGGGCATACAGCAAAACACGACGAATCGTCGATTCTGAGCCCTATGGGCCCTCACTCTAGGAGCCAAAGCATATCCACCGTCGATTTACCAAGAAGCAACACGCCGAGAGATCCTGCGCTAGGAGCCCAAAGGCTAGATTCCCCGCGCTTCGCTCCAAACCGGGACAACGCTGCTAGGAGGCAGAAGGGCGACTTTGACCTGGCAGGTCAGGAGAGTGACGATACCGATGACGATGATATGGTGCTCGTGAAAGGCGAAGGTCAAGCGGGTGATAGCGCCAACTTCAAGGCCGGGTCAGACACCCCACGCGAAAGCCTGAGCAGGGTCAGCTCCCGCGCCGACAGCCAGTATCAACCCACCCGCTCTGCGCCTAACAAGCCAAGGGAACAGCCTGAAAAGTCCCCCGAGAGGATGCAACTCGGTCGCAACAACACTGCCAGCTCCCAAACTACCATACACGCACCGGAGCCGCAGCGTCCCCCCATGCTCCATGTCGGTCCTTCACACCTCCCAGGCTACCGGCCTTCCAGGGCTTCTTCTTCTGACGGGTTGAGCTCTATCATCACGACTTCTACTATACGCACTCCTGCTGTTGCACCTATCGAAGAGATTCAGCGACAAGCCCAGGCTGCGCCTGCGGTGCACAACATGTCAAGAAGTACTTTCACTCAAATGCGAAGAAAGATTCTGGACCGCGAGTTTTGGATGCGAGACGAGAATGCCAAAGCTTGTTTCAGCTGCGGTGATGCTTTCACTACTTTCAGACGTAAGCATCACTGCCGTACATGTGGGCAAATCTTCGATTCCAAGTGCACGTCTATCGTGTCAGGTAAGATATTTGGGCAGCAAAGCAACCTGAAGGTGTGCAAACCGTGTGAGGGTATCATATACGGCCACGACGATGACTCTTCCGACTACACTGATGATGGCGACCAAGCTTCCCTTTACGACAATGGGGACAGGACTCAGTACTCAGACGACGACGAGGCTGATCATGTTGAGAGTGATCATACAAAGATCGGAACACCGACCATCAGCATCCCCATGTCTCGAAAGGTGGGCAGTGAAAAGAAACGCCGGTCACATGTCATAGAACTTGGTCCTCAAACTTTGACCCGTCCGAGTTCTTCGCGGTCTCTGCGGTCTCTGGGTGGGAGACCCCGTTCGTCGAGCCACAAACGACACCCTTCCAAACACCAACACATGCGTAACGTCAAGCATGACGATCGCGCGCCCTTCCATCAGTATCACGATAACTCACGCAGTCAACCAAGCCTGTCGGCCTTCCACCACGATAACATAATCGACCCAGATCTTGCTCCCTTCATGTCAGACGAGGGCTCGAGCGAGGAAGATCATGCCAGCATCTTCGCGACTCTGAGAGAAGATCCTGCGGCTGGCGCGAATCTGGACCATGAAAGAGGTGGTTTAGGTGGTCTGTTGGCAGCCATGAGGAAAGGAAAGTCAAGGGCTGGTGATAGGAGTGTCATAGGCGCGGGCCACGCTCGAGATGCAGATAACATTAGCATCACAAGTCGCAACGGAAATCGACCGTCCCGACGAAGGAATCTGAGCGTAAGCAGCATCACTCACCGAGCCTCCCCAAGGCGATCGAAAAGCAACACCCTGTTAAGACCTTATACCGGCTACGGCGGTAGCGGACCGGGAACACCACAACTCCAGCCGTCTCCTTCACCAACACCACCCGGAGGGAGAATCACCCGTAGTGCATCAATGCAGGGTATGACACCCAAGGTCGAACTCAACAAGGCCAGTCTAGATCATGCACGAAAGCTCCTGATACAGATGTTGAACGACGCTGGAGTGCCACATGCGTCCAGTTGGGAAAAGGCCTTGATCCCGATCTTACGACAGTGTACAGATGACGTCAATCCTGACGTAGATAGAGGAGATGACATCGACGTGAGGAACTACATCAAGTTGAAGAAGATCCCGGGTGGTAAGCCAAAGGACACCGCATACGTATCGGGTGTGGTCTTTACCAAGAACGTTGCCCTGCGGAGTATGCCGCGCAATATACCCAACCCAAGAATCGCCATCATCACTTTCGCTATTGAGTATGCGCGACACCAAACACACTTCATGAGCCTTGAGCCCGTCATCGCCCAGGAGCGAGAATACCTTCGTAACCTCGTAAGTCGTATCGCAGCTCTCCAACCTCACGTCCTGCTCGTACAACGTAATGTGTCTGGCCTGGCACTCGAATTCCTGGAGAAAGAGGGAATTGCCGTAGTCTACAACGTCAAGCCTACAGTACTGAACGCCGTCGCGCGATGCACAAATTCGAAAATGATCTCATCCGTCGACAAGTTGGCCATAGACCCAACGCATCTTGGGTCTTGCGGCAGGTTTGATGTCAAGACCTATGTGCACAAGAATGCGAGGAAAACCTACATCTTTCTGTCTGGGTGTCAGAAAGAACTCGGCTGCACAATTGTTCTACGAGGTGCCGAGAGTCATAACCTGGTCAGGTTGAAACGCGTGACTGAGTTCATGACATATGTCGTGTACAACCTTCGGCTCGAGACTTGCTTGATGCGCGACGAATTCATAGATACACCAACAGCTTCTATCACTGGTACTCTCGCCTTGGACCGCCAAGATCAAGACGGTTCACGAACTCAAAGCGGTGGAGACGATACCGCTTCCCAGCCTACTAACGCGTTGCATGATGGGAACGACCTGCGATCTAGCGATGCTGCACCCTCCTACTATAGCGACATGGTCGAAAACCATCGAACAAAGATTCTCTCTTCTTCGCCATTCGTCAAGTTCATGCAACCTTATCTGCTCGAACAGGCCCGCCAATACGAAGCAAAGCTAGGCCATCTGAAGAAGCTCAAGAACCAGTACACTGCTGATGAAAGTGACGAAAAGCCCGGTGAAATCGGCCAGAAGTTCGAACTCGTACAGCCCGAGATGGTCCACACCGTGGTGGAGAAGGCTTCAAAGCAAGTTCGAGAGTTCTTATCTGCAGTGCATGCATCAGAATACGACAAGGCATTGAATCAGTACCTGACACAAAAGCGACAGTGGGAGCAGTATCTCTCGGGCAACACAGATCTTTACGACCCGTTCAACCACCAGAAGATTGCCGTACTGTACAGTGTTGTCAATACTGTAACCTCCACTCCCTGCATTGGACCAGAAATCATCGCGCTTGGTTTTTACCAAGAACATGATTACGATGATGGCTTTACGCCAGATTGCACATTAGGCCAATACGTGGAGGATCTGTGCACTTCAGCCAGTGTTGCTTGTGAAGTGGGCAATTGCGACCGGAGAATGCTCGATCATTCTCGCCAATATGTGCATGGAGAAGGTCAAATGACGGTCATCGTCCAGAAGCACCCACCGAAGCTGAAAGGCATGTATCAAACCATTCTCATGTGGAGCTGTTGCAGAATATGTGGCCAAGAAACGCAAGCTTTTCCTATGTCCGAGTGGAGTTGGAGATACTCTTTTGCCAAATACCTCGAGTTGACGTTCTGGAGTACCAAGCTGCATCCACGAGCGGGTATATGTCCCCACGACATTCACAAGGACCATGTCCGCTACTTCGGCTACAGCAATGTTGCTCTGCGGATCCAGTATGACCCTGTACCGATGTACGAGGTCATCGCTCCCAAGCCGAATGTGACCTGGAAAGTGGATAGCGACCTAAGGTTGAAGAATAGCCAATATCTGATGATCGAGGATAAGTTGGATTGCTTCATGGACTCGCTTCGCGCTCGTATCCAGGGGATTCATGTTGAAGATGTCATTCCAGAGAAGGTGGATGTATGCCGCAAGGAAGTTGAGATACTTCTCAAACGGGCGAACGAGGAACACGAGTGGCTGAAATCCAAGCTCCAAGACAAGTACATGAACTCCAAATACTACGAGATCATCCCCATGAATCGCGCAATTCGCGCCATTCAGGAAAAGGCAATCGCTTGGGATGTGACCTTTCTGGAGTTCGAACAGCAATTCTTCCCGTCCGAGCGGGATATCAGGAGGTACGCGAACATGCAACTGAAGAGATTCTTGGAGCGGGATGAGTCTACGAGCTCTTTGGCATCTGTGGATGAGGGCGGGGAATCAGGTGCGGACGATTCGTACATCGATGAGAAAGATGAGTCGATTGCGTTATCGCCGAGGCCATCTAATCTATCACCAGAAATGGCCCGCGACATGTTGAGCTCCGTTGTCAAAGAGGAGAGTTCGACTAGCGATCAGCCTGCGGATGGGGGAGAACAGGTTTCTGGACCTAGCACGCCCCCTCTAGCCAAGCCTAGTTCAGACTTGCCAATCCAGACCCCGCGGGAGGCACTTGAGCGAGAAGACGTTCGTCATTTGGATCTCGCAGTGCCCTCAAACTATCCTGAGACACCTGCAGTCGGCAACGAAGAACTCACCAAGACACCAACTGTTGCTTCTGATCCTAACAAGTTCGACGAAGGGTCGCCTACGCCTACCAGTCTTCCGAGGGTAAATCCGATTGATAAGTCGCTTGCTGAAGCGATCGAGAATATGCCGAGTAGCCCGTCACCATTGCCGTCAGCTTCGAACATCACAGCGGAAAGCAAAATCCCGCGGCTGGTCGAACCCAATCGACGTGAAGCGCCGGCCCGGCCAACAGCACTTGTGAGAACACAATCTCAGCCTGGAAATATCGCTAAACACATCGGCCCTTTCCCAGGCTCATCGGTCACCAACAACGGGCCCACTAGTCCGAAGCCGAACTCCAACGACTCTACAAAGGCTTTTGAGCGTATGACAGAGCGACTTGGGCTAGGATTGTCTACCCCAAAGCAATCCAAGTCCTCATCTCGCATACCTCGATCAATACCTTACAAGAGCCAAAACAAGGTATCGAAGATTGCGCAGCATTTTGAACAGCTGTCACGAGAATTTCAGAACCAGCGTATGCGCGAGAGACGTAATGATCGAGCTAGGCAAGTGCGCGCGTTCCCACTCGCCTCCTCTAAACCGGTTGTCGAGGTGTACAAAAACGTCCATGACGCTGTGCAAGAGAATGAAGATTCTGATGAAGATCTGCGTACTCCAACTCCTCCTCGGGCGAGTCTTGACAACAGTACACTTGGCGACGGCACTTTCACAGAGCACATAGGTGACACAACAGCGTCACAATCACCGGTGGAGAGGCGACATCCTCATGATGAAATGGCCCAACTTCCCAGCAGCGATGAGTCACCCAAATCACCAAGCCACTTCCCATCAGACCCCGAGAACGACATCAGTGATACGGAGACGACGCCAGAAGACATTCCTCTTCCGGAAAGCCTCGCGGGTTCTCAACTTTTGAGTTTGAGCGACTCGCAGCTGGAAAACTCTCTTGAGCTCCCCAAACACGAGAAGAACACGTTACTGAAGATTCTTACCAGTTTCTGGTCCGAACGATCGGCAAGTGGATGGACGCCGCTTGAGTATCCATTCTCACAGATCGAGCACGTCTGGGAGAACTCGGATATCATCATCCGGGAAGACGAACCCAGTTCCATCATTGCATTGGCGCTGTCGTGTCCAGACTATGTTGCCAAGCGACAAACCTTCCGCGATTTTACTTCAAGTGATGGCGTTATGGAAACATTTGAAGAGTCAGTCGAACGAAACCTGCTGCATGAAGAAAACCACAACATCCGCTACAGTTTTACCAATCGTGGGGTAAAGGCGCACTGCAAGATATTCTACGCCCAATCTTTCGACGCACTCCGCCGCAAATGCGGTGTGGCAGAACGGTTTGTGGAATCCCTCTCCCGCTGTTCGAAATGGGATTCCAAGGGCGGGAAATCCAAGTCAATCTTTCTGAAGACCCTCGACGACCGATTTGTCTTAAAGTCACTCTCTCCAGTCGAAGTTCAAGCATTCTTCAAGTTCGGACCCAATTACTTTGCCTTCACGCACCAGAATCTCTTCAAATCATTGCCCAGCGTCATCGCGAAGATGTTCGGCCTGTTTCAAGTCCAGATCAAGACACCCACCGGCCGGGACTTTGACTGGTACATGCTTGTTATGGAGAACCTTTTCTACGATCGCGAACCGAACCGCCGCTACGATCTTAAGGGCAGTATGCGCAATCGCAAGATCCAAGCCACTGGCGAACGAGATGAAGTTCTTCTCGACGAGAACCTTGTTGACATCATCTACTCTGAGACGCCCATCTTCGTCCGTGAGCACACCAAGAAGTTGCTCAAAGCTAGTGTGTTCAACGATACGCTTTTCCTATCACAGAACAACGTTATGGACTACTCTCTCATGGCAGGCTTTGACGACACACAACGCGAGATCATTGTAGGCATTATCGACTGCATTCGCACCTACACCTGGGACAAGAAGCTCGAGAGTTGGATCAAGGACCGCGGCAAGAACAAGCCTACCATCACATCGCCGCGTGACTACAGGAACAGATTCAGGATTGCGATGGAAAAGTACATCCTCCAAGCGCCCAACTGCTGGCACCAATTCAGTGGTAGGCTCGTTGGACAGAGTGTCGATGGACGAAGGGCGCTGGTTGAAGGCAGAAGCAGTATGGACGCGGGGCACAAGAGGGGCGTAAGCGGTAGTAGTGTCGCTGGATCGAGTACGGTAATGGACATGGGACGTACATTGGCCTATGGTGATGGCCGTAATGCTCGGAGGGCATGATTTATGTTAAATTGATGACCATGATTCTGTTAGGTAGCATAGCGCGGGGGTATGGAGTTCTCATCTCGATGTATCTAATGACCAAGCCTAATGTGACAATGCGCGTCTATGCAAAAAGACTGCATGTGCGTACCACCAAAACGGCAGACCGACGATCCTACTAACTCTTCTTTTCCTTCTGGTCCTTCAACAACGCTCCAACAACGCCCTCCACACTCCCCATCTCCTCCTTCTCGTTCCTCTCCACAACATCAGCCAACCCATTAAATACACCCGCAATCTCCCTGAACACACTCGCCTCACCCGCCGTCCCACCTTCCGTTCGAAAACACTCACCAATCTGCACCATCTCCTCCACCCACCGATAAGCCTTCCCCGTACACCCCACCACGCTCTTTTCCGCCTTCTGCTTCACACCAGGACTATACACGTCAAGATACTCACGCAGCGGATCTAGCACACCCAGCGACTCCGCCGACGAGAAAGATTGCAACGCCAACGCCGTAAACCCCTTTGACAGCGCCGCGAAACAGCATTTCAGCCCGGACGCTGTCCCGATCTCGCCGCCGAGAAAGCGCGTATTGAGTACTTCAGCTAGATGGGCGCCGGAAATGCGTGCGGAGTCGAGGGGATGCGGTCCCGATAGCGGGATATCGGGTCTTGTCCATGCACTCTGTTCTGTTTCTGACGGCGGCGGCGATGGTGGGCCACCGATGATGCCCCCGTCCACAAACACAACACCTTTCTCGACCTGCTCAAAAAGTCCCGCTATACTCCTCGCTGTATCCGGACTAATAGCATTCAAATCCAAATACCACACCGCGCCCTTCCCCTTCTCCCTCCTTTCCCTCTCCCATGTTTCCGATTGCAGCGCAGATACCACGCGATTCGCCGTCGCCACAGCATCACGTGGCGGCACGATACTCAGTATGTAATCTGCATCTGCGACGAGCTCTTCGTCTGTGGCGTAGAGGTGTATTCCAGCGGATTCTGTGCGCGCTTTTGTGGCGGCACTGCGGCCGCTGATGTTGGTTGTTATGCGGTAGTTGTGCGAGGTGAGGAGTGCGGCGATGCCGAGGCCCATTTGCCCGATTGAGACGATGGCTACTGTGGCGAGGGGGGTGGACATTTTGGGGAGGGAGGTGGTGTTGAGATGGAGAGGTTTGGTGTGTCGTGTTACGGTACTGGGATGAGACGATGATGTTGTTGGGATATCCATGGTGGGGTGGGTGAATGCTGACGGGAGCTCTAACGCGGAGGGGTTAGTGGGGTGTGGGGATAGGATTGTGGTGCCGTTGAGAGCTGACAACATCGAAGAGCTTGATAATGGGAAGCGCATGTTGAAATCACTGGGCCTCTTGCTCAAGTCTGATAAGTTCGGGTTGAGATGATTGGCATCCTATACAGTCTCTTTCATAACTTTCTATACGACTATATCGTCGCGTTCCACCTCGACCGGCCCAGCACTTAGAACGGCTTCAACGAGTTCAAGCTCTTAGACTCGACTTGATATCCATCAGCCTGGTAACCACTGGTAAAGTAAGACGCCGCCTGTGTGTTTCCCTTCATTGTCCACAGCATCCAGTTGAGGATCGCCTTGCCAAAACGGCCGCCATTAGCATCGCCGAGTGTACCGCCGTGGCCGACGGGAATGTTGCCCTTCCAGGTTGGAACTCCGGCAGGCATGTTCTTGTAGTCACGCTCGCCCTAGAATCCTTGTTAGTTTATCTTGCGCGCAACAGAAAGGAATAGGTAAGGAGAACTTACGTTCGGGTAGGCAATGTCGCCTGAACCACCCAGTACGAACAAGACTGGCTTCCTCTAGTTACTGGCCGCAGTGTAGTTTGTCAGCAGACCTGAGCTGATGACTCCGATGGTGTCGACGCGGCTATCCCAGATGTTGTCGATGGCTTCGACACCACCGCATGAGAAGCCTGCAGCCATGATCTTGCTCGCATCGACGTTGGCATAGTTTCCTTTGCCGGCGTTCTGGGTGACCCAGTCAATGGCCTGTTTCATGGTCTGAGCATTGGAGGTACCGCCGCCGTTGGGGCCACCCTCAGCGATAGCCAGGAAACCGTAACTGGCGATGTTCTGCAAGAGAGCCGAGTTGGAGCGGCCGTCGGTGCTGCATGCACCGTTGCCCCAGACGAGGACAGGGAGCTTCTCGGACCCAGTGCTCTTGGTCGGGTAGTAGATTGTGTGGCCTTGGAGAGAGCTTTCGGTCTTGTAAGTGCCCGGAGCGTAAGGGCCTGCGCCGCTGCCTTGCTGAGAAGATGTCAATAGAGTCCTTGAGGTAGGGGAGTTGTTGCTTACTTGTCTGGCTTCTAGGTTAAGCGGTGTTGCAACACTGCTTTCAACGCACAAAGCCGCAACGGCGAGACTGAATGAGTACTTCATGGCGGATGGAAGCGATAGAATCGAGGAAGACGCAGAACGAACTGATGGCGATGTAGGTCACTGAGTCAAGTCCAAGGCATCTTATATACCAAGAAACATCCCTATCATACCAAGACGTCCTCATCACCCTAAAATGTCCCCATCGTGCTATAACGTCCCCATCACACTAAAAAGCCCTTGCATTCGTCCTCCATCACTTCTTGGCTGCTCACCGCACACTCTCATCTGCAACCATTTTGATTGCAAAGGGATAAAATCATCGCGCCAACCACCAGTAAATGTGGGCTTGATATATTCTATCGGGCCTATTACGTCGGGGATGAGGCTTTAGTTGGGCCGTTTGCTATAGATGGATCCGGGGTGAACAGGTCACACATGATCTTTCTAGTATGCGATCGTGCGCTAGCTGCCAATGGGTGCTTCAGCTTAATATGTCGTGGGTCGACCTTGTCTTGGCCGGTGGTTAAGCTCGCTAGTCAGGTGCCGGATGAGCTCCTCGGGAGTCAAACGCGAGATCGTGCATCGGGGGATAGTATGGCGATTGCGGGGAAGCACATCGCGTATCTTTATTTGCATGCCGGTTGATGCAAATGTGCAAGCATTGTGTTTAGGCGAGGTGACATCGAGTATACGTGAATAAACACATACAGCTTGGCGCGCTGGTGTTTTGCCATTGCGTCATGGTACTAGTGCATGTTAGCGGATGTCCTCGACGCTGATTGACGGTATCAGATGCTTCAACATCTAGGAGGCTAAAACTGCGATCGCGAATGCGAAGAGGTGGGCAAGTCGTCAATTTTGGCGGCTATGACATCGCCGTCATCGTCACTCATTACCGCAATGGACTTCCAAGGTTTGTATAACTCATCCGTTCTCAACCGCCGCTAAGTCGGGGATGTCATGTATATTATCTTCTGAAACTCGTTCGCCGTGCTGATATATGCTTGTGCGCAGAATACTGCCTGTGCAACGACCCATGAAGATGACGAGAAAAAACATCAGATCTTGGCTCCAAATCTCCGTTAGATCTGACCGAGATCGTGCGTTCTCAGCTCTGCCCTTCAATACTTTCAACCATATACCCAGTACCATGTCTTTCGGAGATCTATTCCACCTCTTTTAACAGCTGCCTTGCCGCGACATGGCTTATTGGTCTGGGCACACAGCGGCCGCCGCCTGGTTCGCACAATCGTTGCCGCCATGCTGCCAGCATTGACTCTGAACGCCATTGATAGTGAAGAAAGTACTGTAGAAGCACTGTGCCATGTTTTGTGTCGCGTTCTCGCAGCGGTAAAGACAACGTGGGCAGTATCTCGCGTAACTACCGGCTTCTTCCTCACAGATCTCCAAAGGCGTCGTGGGAGTAGGCGTAGGCGTCTGGCTGGTGCTGGTTACAGTCACAAGAGTGCTGGTGGCAGATGATGGTACAGGCTTGCCCAAGTTTCTTTCAACGCAGTAGGAGTTCTTCGGGATGATTTTGCAGCCATCAGCCAGACATGGGTTCTGTTTCATCCGTTAGTATGTATGTAGAGTTTCAATGCGTTTGCATCGTACGTATGCCGTCAACTGCGCATCCGTGATTCCCCAATATGCACCTATACTGGCACATGTGTCGGTCTCTGCGGCGACATGCCACCATGAGCAGTCTGCGACGGTGTCTGGAGCCGCGGTAGTTGGAGGCTCCTCGAGATACGCTGCGCTAAGCAGTGGTAGCAAGCCGAGACCGATGGTGAGTGGAGATAGCATGGTGCGAGTATTCCGAGTTTTGAGGTGCAATATCAGCCGTGAAAATGCGAGTAAGAAGAGCGGACGATGGAGTATCTTTATACAAAGAACGCGATGTACCTAGATTTGATGGCGCCAGACCTAGACAGCATGCTGCCTGTGCAGTGCATTAGCCATATACAACATTCCAGGCTTCCATCGGGCCTGATGATCCAGCTCTAGGGCAAACGTCGTGCGAAGTCCCGCTTCCTGAGGAATCGAGTAATAGCTTGCCGGACGGGGACGCTGGCAGCCTAGACGGGTGGAGAATCGCGCAGGATCTACGGACCCCTTGGACGCCTGATGACCGGCAACGAATCAAAGTCACAACGGCAGAACATGTACGTAGCGCAGATTTAGAGCTCGTACTTGCACGGCGACAAAAGTTTGTATGTTGGGGTTTGCAAGGCGTAAATTCAGTCGGAGTTGATGATGATCCTTACTATACCAGGCCTGGTGTAAGGCGACAGCGCGTCCCGAGGTCCCGTCCGCGGCTTCCTCAAGAATTCAAGCCGCAAGACGATGCAACAACCAAGTGTCCAAAGCACGTATTGCAGTCGCAGATCTCGCGAGAAGTAGTTGCTTCCAAATCGTCCATCGCAAAGTTACCATGCACATCGCTACACCCTCCCTGCACCTCCCCGCTTCCCACCGTTCCTCCTCCAAACCAGCACCCCCAACCCAAAGCTCACGCACCAAAACACCGCGCTCAGAAACCCAAACGCCTGAGCTGCATTCCACCTACTGCACATCCCGTTCCTAACCGTCATCTGATCCCACGCCCAAATACTACCACAATCCATTCCATTCCTATAATAATCCTGCAGCAAGCCAAAGGCAGCGACCCACGCGCCGCAAAAGATAAGATCGCCGACAAAATTGACGATGTGAGAAGTGGTGGGAAAGATCCAGATGAGGGATGCGACGACCGATATGCCGGCTATCATGACGCTGTAGATGAGGCGGCCGTGACAGTCGCTGGCGTCCATGTGGCGGATTTGGTGGAGGAGGATGGATGTTAGGACTAGGACTACGGCTGCGCAGACGAATTGCGCGAAGCGGAGGGTGATGGATAGGAGGCGGGAGAGGATCATTGTGATGTCGTGTGAGTGTGTAATAGGTGAGGCTTGCTGACTTGTAGGATCTAGATAGCCGGATTCGTAGAAGTGAGGTGAAGCGGCGTCTTGTAGTGTAGATAGATATTGCTTCCTGCTTGCGTCTTGGAGGACCTTTACCTTATATCTTCACGTATGCATTTGACAAGCAAACGCGCGCTCAGATATTGGTTTGGCTGCTGCGCGTGGAGGCATTTTGAGGTCTTTCTTAAGTGCGCTTGCTCTCAATCACATGTATTCAGACCAACGGCCTCTGTTTGCACGCGTTGCTACGTGACACCGCCAATCAAAGACGCCTTATGCATCGTACTAATCGAGCTCCTTACTACAACCCATCATAAACACCCTTCTCAGCCATGAACCATGCCGGAATAACCTTGGGATCTCCATTCGGAAGCACCTGCGAAGCCAGCATACCCGCAACCCCCTTCTCCCTGTCCACCCACCAGAAGCAGTTACACAAGCCCATCCACCACAGCGTATTAGCCCCACGACCAGACTGTCCCGGCGCAATCGTGATGAAACCGCCAAAGCCCCATCCCTGAGGAGGGTTGCCGGGCTGGGGATACATATCCGCTGCTTGGTTGACGAGCAAAGGGTTCGCGGGTGGGACGTTGGCACGTGCAAAGTCGGGTTGAGAGGGGATTTGATTCTCCCACATGAGATCGACGGTCTCCTTCTTGAGGATGCGCTTCTGAGTTTGTGGACTCGTTCCGTCGTTCAGTAGAGCAGCGAGGATCTTGACGTATTCGCTTGGTCTTGACCAGAGTCCTGCGCCGCCGGATTGGAGGAAGTCTTTCTGTTTTTCTTCGGGGCACGACAGAGGGCCGTTGTAGAGATGTTCGCGCTCCTTGAGGGTGCCGCCCGTCTCGCGTTGGTGCATGTGTGCTAGGTTCTTCTGCACCTCCTTGGAAGGGAACATGGTTGCGCCTTCTGCGGCGATGCCTACGGGCGTGAAGACATGCTCTTGGAAGTATTCCCCTAGTGTTTGCCCGGTGACGCGTTCGAGGACGATACCGGCCCAGTCCATGTTGATCTGCAGTTCCGTTAATATCTGGGACGGGAATAAGGATATACGTGCAACTTACCCCATACTCCCACATACTGCCCGGTTGGTTTACCAGCTTCGAATCGAGAATGTCGCGTTTGTCTCCACTGCTCCCTTCGATGCCATCCGCTACGAGCCTCGGATCCGCGAATCGGTATCCAAATCCTGCGGTATGGCTCAATAACATTCGTACAGTGATACCCTTCTCTTGCTCAGCACCGTTGACACCATCTGCATAGACCTTTTTCTCCGATAATTCCGGTACGGTTTTCTTGATGAATTCAGCATCATCCAACGGTACCTTGCCCTGCTCAACAAGCTGCAGCACGGCAATTGCAGTGACCAGTTTGGTGCAAGAAGCAATCCAAAAGGTGGTGGTCTGAGTATTCATAGGCTCCTTGGAGTCTACACCGAGCATACCTGACGCATGCTCGACAAGTGTTTTGCCCGATTTGTCGATAGCGTGGAAGGCGAGACCCGGCGAGCCATCTCCAATGAAACCGTCTAGTGTGCTCTTAATATCATCGACAGCTTTAGTGGAGAGAGGCATGATGGGAGCTGTTCTGTGAGTGATTCCAGGAGGTTCATTGTAAAACAGATCAGTCTTATAGAAGTTGCGCTATGTACCGAGGGTATCAATGTCCCCACTCCAGCATCACACATACTACGCCGAATCCAGACATGAGTAGTTAAGGTATGCAACTAGTTGTGGTGGACATAAGCCAGCGCCCGAGTACGTTTATGGGTCATACGGATAGGAAAGACCAATGAAAGGTACCGGGCACGAGATAACCGAGCAGGGCGAACATTTAGGACGTGGACTTGTTGATATTGAACCTATGAGTCGCATAGCCACTGATGGTAGAGGTTGCTCGCTCCACCCTACGCTACCCCGCAGCGGGGCATCAATTGGACATTCGTACAGTAGTGCACGCCCGACGGGCTAATATAGCGTGCCATCAACGTAAGCCTACTGTTGTACTACAGAACAGGACTCATGAAGCGACTGTATGGCTCTCTCTGGATGAGGTTGTGGATCCCTCGGAACATACTTCAGAATATGTGACAATCGT